TGTGATTGTAGTTTTTCTAACTCGGTGGGAACTTTATCGAGGTGTGTTGTGTAATTTTAAACCTTCAATATTGAGAAACAAAAGTTGGAAAATTTCAGAAAATCTTCACTGGTGTATTCAACCTAGAGAGGGTCTAGTATAAGAGAGAAGCGGACTGGCTGATTTTGAGCCAAACGAACTGTCAAAGCCAGAGCCAATAGAGCAGCGCCTATCTTGATTGCATTGGCCGTGTTGTTAGAAATTGCCTAGGCATAGGTTGCTAAGGTAATCCGCTCCACTCTTATACTAGACCCTCTCTAATTCAACCATATCCATAATTGTGAGTATTGTGCATTTTGCACCAAAGTAGGCTCCTACGCTATAAGTTATTCATTTTTTTTTCGATCAGATCACTAACGATAATAATTCATCATTTCGAACGCAATAGAGTGCTACATTTTATAATAGAATATCATATTGCGGTGATAGAACTTTGAAAATAATGCATTTTAATTTCTTATGGCACGAACGAAGCAAATTTTGAGGAATTATTTTTAGCACATGATTTGGTGAAAAATGCGCGCTCATCTTCCCACAATTATGGATCAGTCAATATTCTGTTCAGTTTTACTACTGTTTTGAACATAAATGCATTCAAACTATATAAAACTGTTTATTACTATCGTATTACAGCAATAATAAAATGATTATAGTGAATTTTGTCGCTGATGTAAATGGATTAATCTACCGTCATATTTAAAGATAAAAGTGATCCGTAATTGTGCTTAGGAAGCTTCAGGATTTTACACATTGTAATCTATTTGAACTAAATAATATGAGTTGAATGCATCGTTGAATGAAAGTTCATATCTCAAGGGGTAAGTCACTGGGCACATCCATCGGCACATCTTCGGCACAATATCGTAGGCATTGGATTGTTGTAAATAAAATGGGAGCACTGCTGGACAACTGTCATTGAAGTTGTTCAAAACATTACATGCTGTTTGACTGAATATTCAGGAACATCCTCTAATTATATACCAGAGAAACTCATACCAGCAGTTCACTTATAGATCTAAATACGAAATGTAGGTTCTAGAGTGGGCTCAAGAGAAAGAGGCAGTTTATCACACCCTTTTAATACCCTTAATGCTGCAAATCACATAAAACAAACTAAAGAAGTCTATTTATCATCCTCTGTAGTCCGTCTCCTACAATGCTCCCCATCGGTTCCTACTTTTGCCTGCCACTGATAGATCAGTGCCTTTAAATCCACGAAAGCCTAGGTTTCTGATCTGGCTTTGAGGGCATTATAAAACCCTAAAACACAGGACTTTTATTATCCTATGAACACAAAACACCAAAATTTCACACATCGCTACTTCTCGCGTCATCCTCAATCCGATTTATCCTTGCGATTTCAAACCAAAACATTCAAGGTGTCAGAAATACCGAGTTGCCGGGATGGGTATTTTACAAACAATCGCAGCTTGCTTTATGACCGACACAATTGGCAAACCTGCGGCACACTTGCGGTACACTAACAAAAAAGACTACCCAAGATTGGTGTGTGGAATGACCTACCCCTTGTCATATCTGAAAAAAGCAATACGCGTTGAAACATTGACGTTTGGGCATTTCTTCAATTTTGTGATCTAAGTGATCCATTTTGTAGGGGGAGTGTATTTTTGTAAGCTTTGCAGTTTAGTTAATAAAACATCCCAAAGCGGAGGAAGGTGGGTGACATCGAACATATCCGCACCGGGTGTTACTATCCCACTCGACGGCAGTCTGTGTATCTCATCACTCTTTAATGATTGGAAGAATCGTCACGCGCACAAGGTTTCAAAAACTGCCTCAATCAAATGTAATTGAGCAACATAATTACAGTCAGGAATCCTTATTGTCGGGGTAACGGGGGCGCGAATAAGGAACTGCGAATAAGGATACCCACAGCCAGGCTTGCTTCCACTCACTTGCTATAAAAAAATGATTTTCGGAATTTTGGAATCATTAGATGTTGTAACTATATTTTGTACTTTTTTTTTTCCTTGATTTGTTTTCCGTCGATCTTGTTTTCCGTGCTGAGCACCAATGCTACCGACGCCAGGGAGGCAGCTCCCACACCTGGACCCTACCTCTCGACCCATCAAACTCATGAACCGGGGACCAACGGCTTTACTTCCGTGATCAGGTGATCAGAGATGTTATGCCTCAGAACATCCCGGCGGCGCCGACTGGGATTGAACCCAGGCCTGCTGGGGTGAGAGATAATCACGCTTACCACTACACTATCGGCACCGCTGTATTTTGTACTTGTTAGATACAGGAAGACGTTGAAAGGTTAGTGTTTGACACATAAAACCTGTTAAATTCGCTTTCAGATAGTCACAATCCGCGATTTTACGACTCGCAAGCGCTCACTCTGAGTGAATGCTCATGAATCATAAATTCGCTGATTGTGACACTCTGGAAGCGAAATTGACAGATTTCATGTGTCAAATACATACTTTGTAACCTCCCCTTTTAACTTGGAAGTACAAAATATCATAATAACATCTATCGATTTTATAATTCCGAAAAAGATTTGTTTTATAGCAAGTGAGTGGAAGCACTCTGCTTATGGGATTTTCACTAATGGGGGCTGTGGTGGATTATCTCATTTGTTTCAATACATAAAGCTATACTGTCTTCGACAAAATTTTTGTACTGGGTTTGACCAACAAGTCTGTGCCATTGGATTCAGGCTTAATTGGGAACTATGCCGCTAGAGGCGCTTCACTTTTATATAACTTATGTTGGCGTTATTTTATATAAAACGTTGGACTCAAGCTAGAATATTTCGCGATCCTGGCCATACAGAAAGTTGCTGTCTTGAGCAAAGTTGTTCAGGTGACCAAGTCCTTTCGGATGGTGGTGGCAAATTAGTTCAGAACTCTATCACTACGCAGCGCTAGTGTGCATGTTCAAATCCTATATAAACTGTAGTTCGAGAGTTGTTGCCAATGATCGTTGTGATGATATCCGGCCTCTACACGTCATTCCCTTTCCGATAATATCCTTATTGCAGGGTATTTGACAGTTTTTCTTGAACTGATGGCTGCCATCTTGGATTTCAAAATGGCGTCTGACATCGATTTCCGGCCTCTACACGTCATCCCTTTTTCGGATAGTGTTCTCACATTGCACAGCAACATCTTATATGGACAAGCTTTCGAGACATAACATATTAAAAAAGTTCATTTGCACACCAGCGCCGCGTAGTGAGGGATTTCTGAAATAATATGACCATCATCCGAATGGAATTAGTCACCTGAACAACTTTGCTGAAGACAATAACCTTCTATATGGCCAGGTTCTCGAGATACAGCTTATACAGGAAGTTCACTTGCGCGCTAGTGCCACGTAGTGAGTGTGTTCTGAACTAATATGACCACCATCCAAAAGGACATGATTAACTGAACAACTTTGCTAAAGACAGTAACCTTCTATATGGCCTGGATGTTGAGATACAGCTTATACAGGAAGCTCGGGTGCACACTAGCGCTGCGTAATGAGAGAGTTCTGAACTAATATGTCCACAATCCGAAAGGATTTGGGCACCTGAACAACTTGGCTCAAGACAGCAACTTTCTGTATGGCCAGGATCATGAAATATTCTAGCTTGGGTCCAACGTTCCATATATTATAACGCCCGTCAGTAGTAATATAAAATTAAAGCGCCTATAGCGGCATAGTTCCCAATTAATCCTGAATCCAATGACACAGGCTTGTTGGTCTATCCCAGTACAAATACTTTGTCAAAGACAGTATAGCTTTATATATTGAAATAAATGAGATAATCCACCACAGGGCTTAGTGAAAATCCCATAAGCTGTGGGTATCCTTATTCGCGGATAGCCCGGCAATAAGGGCGGCAATGAGGAATCCGCCAATAAGGATTCCTGACTGAACTATGAATTTTTCATACAGTGTTTCTCAAAATTGATCGTTCATCCTAAAAGATTTTTTTAACATGGTGAATAGATGTATTTTTTTTTAAATCGTGGCTGGTGATTGAACAGATGATTATTGATTTATTGCTATAATCTTGGTCTTTATTAGAAGCAGGCTTGCTTCCACTCACTTTCTATAAAAAATGATTTTTTAAATTCTGAAATCATTAGATATTATAATGATATTTTGTACTTGCTAGATACAAGAAGAGGTTGAAAGGCAAGTGTTTGACACATGAAACCTGTCAAATTCGCTTTTAGGTTTTCCGACTCGTGAGCGCTCACTCTGAGTGAACGCTCACGAGTCATAAAAACGCTGATTGTGACACTCTGAAAGCGAAAATGACAAATTTCATGTGTCCAACACATACTTTACAACTTCTTTTTTTTTAATTGAAAGTACAACATATTATAATAATATTTATTGATTTCATAATTCCGAAAAACATTGTTTATGGCAAGTGAGTGAAAGCAACCCTGATTGGAGGAGCCTGTATGAAGATAGATTTATTTTAGTAAAACGCGGCAGATGAATAATCTTTATTAAGACTAAAAATGAGAAAACTTTCATGAAGTTGTGTTCATTTTATTTCACGAAAATAAGGTTTTTCAAGAAAAAGGCGCTTTCCTTAAATTGCTCTTACTTTTTGTAAACTCAACTAAATTTGCCCAATACTGAGCCAATAATTGATATATGTATGCTGAGTTAGCTGCCAAAATTCAGAGACGTATCTTTTTAACTTGTGCTGTTAGAGCCGGTTTTCTAAAATTTAAGTACTGCTGACCGATCAATTTTGAGATACACTGTATGTATTTGTATTGAAGCGTTCCAGATACTTTGCTAGTTATGAATATCGTTGGTAGACACGAAGCTACTGTAGGTAATGCTCGCCGTCCTATTAATACATTCACTCGAATTTTTCTTCGCAATAGTTCAATCAATCCTCCTACATATTGATGAACTGCTAAAAACCAACCAATTCATCAAAAACATGCAATGCAAAACTAAATTCTATTCTCATAAAGGACCAAACAAACTCCTCGCCGTCCACTCCGCCGAGTGCTTCAGCGACAGCAACGGATTGACCTATCTTCTATCGTATGACCCAATCTGGCAGCTTTAAAAGAATGACATCTTATTATTTTCGTAAATAAACACACCATCGAGCCATCAAGTGAACGCACAAAGCAAAGGCACACCTAGTCTGATTATAGTTACTGAATGGGCCATCACATCACAGCATGGACCAACCGATTCCGGAGCACTCGCTCAGTGTACAGAAATTAGTCAATTTGATTTATCTTCTGTTTTCGTTTATCGATTGTTGTGCTCATTCAAACACATTTATTTGAAAATATCCAAGCGTAGTTAAGCAACATTCTAGGACGAACGTACTTCGCAAATTCAAGCTTTAATTAGAATTATCATGATCACGCAGTGATGGGAAGCATGAACCGGACAATTGTTCAAAGTAAACAGTTTCGAAGTATAAGACTCCATCCGGAGTGATTGTGTGTCCGTATGTATGTCTGTTATTTGGTGTGCAAAACAAAATGTTTTTAGGAGATTGTAAGGAAACCCAGATGGAAGCAAATTTATAACCAAAGAGGAAACGCTAGAAGCGTTTTGGCAGTAGTTGGAACCAAAGCAAATGCAGCATTTAGGACGTTTGATTGAGAGCAAACCATGATATGTCCATGTTAGTCACTAATCTCATAATCTCAGTTCTCTCTATCTATATGCAATCAGAAACCATAGGATATTAGCTAGCAGTCGAATCGAGATATACCATCGAATTTGTGTCGCAAACTACCGTTGTACTAACAAGAAACACGTTTTCACTTGTCATACTCAAGAGCAACGCACTTGCAAACTCTACAAAAACAAAAACAAAAAAAATCAGAACTTGTTTATTCCACTCAAAGCAGTAGGATGATTCATATCGATGTTGATTATTCAAGAAGTTTTTATCCACCCGTAGAACGAATTACATAACTAACCGAAACGATCAGGATTGCAACGGACAATAAAACCCCCGCAGTTAGTTGAACCAGAAGTCATCAAATATGTACCGCACAGGAGTTTCGTTTTGCCATTTTCGATATTTAATTAATACAGAGAGAAGCTTGTTGGCGCACCCGGACAATAAAACTGGAACCACGAAGGGAACCGCATCATGAAAACAATAATCAAAGTTCTTCACAAAATTAGCTTTATTTCAGTCCTTAAAAAGAAAGCCAGCTAGTGTATCACCTCGTGCAGTGGGAAGTATCGGAAGGATTCGTTGAAGATGTCCGTGAACGCAATGCTGACTAGATCGTTGATCAGGGGTTTGATGAAGGGGAAACTAGGCTGCCACATGGCGTTGATGACGAAGTCAGCGATGGATTCTGGAAAAAAAGATTAAATTGTTTGTTAGTGTAAGATCGGTATTTGGGATCTTCCCCGCCCTTACCTATTATCTTGGCTCCATGGAACAGGTCGGAAATGTGCAGCTTCATGTCCCCTATCCGATCGATCTCCACTCGCACCTTCAGTAGTCCACCCTGTTCGCCAACTCTGGTGACGGTCGTCGTTTGACTGTAATCGAATAGCGTCAAATTCCACACGCCCTTGACGTGCCGGGGCTGACCGAACATTTTCGACATGAAGCTGTACGCTCCATCGAGGGATTTTTCCGGGAAGTACTGCGAGTAGACGATACGGTTGTTTTTGTAGTCCGTTTTGTACTTGGTCACCTCCGAATCGCTCCACCCGTACTCGGAAACGTTCAGCAGTTGCAGATGGTAACCGGCTAGGCCGTCCCGGTCACCGCGATACTGATTCACGACGGCGGCCTTGTGTGGATCAAATGGAGCAACGTTGTACTGCGGAAGACCTACAAAAGTGAAAACACTTGTTAGTTAATGCGCGAATTTTGGAATTGGAGTGTGGCTAACCAGTTTTGAACCAAGGTCTCACTGCGTTGAATGCCTTTTTGATGCAGGGATCGAAATTTGGCTTTCCCCATCGACAGTTTTCGAATAACCGGAACACTTCACGCTGGGAGGACACTGGATTGTTGGAAAGGGCTATCATGCCCATGATTATGCTCAGCAGTGTGTGTCTCATGGTTGTGCTTTGAAGAGGTCTACAGTTGAAAGTACGCTGGAAGAAAAGATGATTACAATTACAAGAATGTGAAATGGAGTGTCGTACGCCTTCATCACTCCCTATATCTGATCTCGGATAAATAATGTTATTGTGATAAATATTAATAGAGCTACAGAAACTTTTTAAGACCTAAGATTGAACTTATCCATACATGAAATGTATCCAGCTTTTTACGCAAAGTTGCCATACAAAATAAATCAACCCTTTCTGACAGATTAGTGATACTGATATGTATAAATTATTATAGTATCATCTTAGGATGCCCAAAAGTGAGCGATATTTATTTACTTTGTTTGGATAGTTTGTTTGTAAGAGTTTGATAAATTCTGCGCACATTCAATTATAAAATAATGCATGATTGAACATCTTTTCCATAACTGCATCAAAATAAGCATCATTCTTTAGTTTTGTGCATTGTAGTGACCCAGTGGTGCAGTCAGGATTTGCTTCTAGGGGGGGGGGGGTTGTAATAATTACGTTAAAAAAAATGAGAATACCAGTTTGGTGCAGCTTTATATTTCAACATTTTTTGAAACTTTAAAATATTAGAGATTTATACACTGGGCAAAAATTACAAGCAAATATTTAACCTTCTTTTCTTTCGGCTTAAATCATCGAGTACTTCATCTTCGGAAACCGGAATATCTGCATGGATAAACATGAGCGGCAATCCGTTCAGCCGTTGCTCTCCAGTGGTATTGCGGAGATATGTTTTTAATGTTTTTAAGCTTCAATTGAATTTGCAGGTCTTAACATCAAAACAGTTTGGCGCCATAGCATAACTTCACCTGCCAGGCCGCATGATTCTATGTCATAAAATGTTGCAAGATTTTCAATCGGTTCTTGCTCTAGTGATTTCAGAAGTGCCTGAAATGGAATCAACGTCTCCTGGTGTTTTTTAAATTTCTCAACGAGCGAGTCCACAATGCTGTTCAGAAATGGATGAAATACTCTGCTTCGGTAGTACTCCTCACACGATGCTGGTGTCGAATTTTGAAACTCTGTTTGGCGTCTGACTGCAAATCTCGGCAAATTAATATCAACTTCAAGGCGACCACATAACTGCAGCACGTTCTGGAAAATCGAAGCGAAATTCTCCTGTGCTTCACCCGCGACAACTCAAGCGATATCCTGGTACTTTCCGCAGAATCGACAGCAACCTTCAGATCCAAGTTTTTGGTTTGTAGATACGTACTTAAGGTGATACTCTAAGAAAGCCTTAGTGTGAAACTTTAAAGGCACAAATGTCAGCTTCCACAAAACATACAAATTTGAAATTGCTTCTCCTTGTTTGCTGTGCTACTACAAACAGAGAGTAGTAATTTCAAATTAGTATGTTTTGTGGAAGCTGACATTTGTGCCTTTTAAGTTTCACGCTAAGGCTTCCTTAGAGTATCACCTTAATGGAAGCGTAATTTTAAGAACGAAGCCAACAACAAAAAGATTAACAATGAAATCGGACTTTTCAATTGAGCTCAAAAGAAGTTCGGCGTTTGTGGAAGTTGTTTTATCTGACCAGGATTTAATGTCTTCCAAAACCTCGACGACAGGTTCAAACAGTTCAATGAACGCTTGGAGTGAATCGTGTCTCTGAATCCAGCGACTAGGACACATTCGCTTCAGTTTCTGTGCACTTGGCCTGTCGTTCTCAATTTTTTCAATACGCTTTTTCAGAACATCCATTCGTTTTGGCGAGTTAAAAAAATTGTATGTTGATTCTACTGTGCCCATGCAGCTCTGGATCGACGGTAGTGAACAGCCTTCAGAAATGGAAAGGTTTAGGGAATGAGAGCAGCAGTGCACATAAAGTGCTTTTGGGATTGTTTCGCGGATGATTGCCTGTGTACCCTTGAAACGACCGCTCATGGATCGTGCTCCGTCATATCCCTGTCCAACTAATTTGCTTTTGTCTAACCCGACAGCATTAATCGAATCAACAATAAGCTTTGCTAACCCTTTACCAGCCATGTCAGTTAAAGGAACGAATTGAAGGAATTCTTCCCGTACCGTGTTATCCTCCAGGAATCTAACACATAGAGTCATTTGGGAGATATTACTCACGTCAGTCGTCTCATCGCATAGGATGGAAAAGCATTCAGCATAATTAAAAGGATTACTTTATTGAAAGCCGATATGATTTCGTTTTGGATTTGCCAGCTTGTGTATAAAGCATTTCCAGCTGCATTCTCCAAATGATGCTTCAAGACGTCATCCCCTGACTCAACTCTGAATCTCAAAAGAGCTCTAAAATTGCCTTCCTCTTTTCGCGAAGGTTGCGAAAGATCGTACCGGAGTCCCGATGAGCTCGAAAAGCGAGACCTCGTCTGGCTAGAAACATGGCTGATTATATTATCGGCACCAATTTCGTTCTGTTTTTCTTCGCACGATGCTTGCGTCCTTTCTGCAGTGCCCGCTCAATGCTTTCCTTAGCTCCGGTTTGCGTAGCGATGAAATAACCAGCTCTTTCCAGACTTCTTACGTGATACTGGCATTTGTCGTGAGTCCGGAAGTCTTCCCTGGCATTTTTCCAGTTTTTGTAAGAGATTTGCCAGGAGGTGCGCTCTGCTTGCCAACAGTCGTGTAGAAAATAGTTCACAGTTCGAATACACCAACCAGTTCCATTCATCTAACCAATGCCGGTTGAACTTGAGATTATGGGGACCAGAAGCTGGAAACTAAAAATTTACACCAGGTTTCCAAGCATTGGTCAGTATCAGCATCTTAGTGGTATCATCAACCTGCTGGAAATTCAAACGAGGTTATCAAAAATTATCACACGAGGAAAACATTCTCAATTTTAACCCTCCTGATTTTCAATAAGCCCCCCTATATCGTGGTCAAACGGAACGAGTGTTGCATTTAATTCCACCGGTGGGGCAGATTTCATCTGGTCAGATTTTGTCGAGTCATGCTTCACCGAGCCAGTATTCACCGAATCAGATTTTGCCAGATTAGATTCCACCGGGTCCAAAGGGTTTTGCATTCGCGGTTTTTTTCATGGCAACCTCTTCCGCATCACTTTCCTGCTTTTGGCCTATGATAATAAAATACTCATCACAGCTGCTTTGTTCGAAAAAAAAAAAATCCTAACATTTACCATTATTTTCGATCTCAGGAGTAGATTTCATAAAAAAGTTTCTGATGTGCATATTGAAAGAGGCAATGACCAGTTTTCTTTTCTCGTTTTGAATCACCAATTTTAATTTCGATTAACAACTTCAAACATCACAAATTGCCGCGAAATATTTGTTTTCCAAATCTTCAAATATCGGGTCAAAACGCAAGAAAAACAAACAGGAAGAACTATGTTTTGGCGCGCTAACTAATGTCACATTGGCTTAACACGCGTCGTAGTGATAAAGTGAGATAGTAGAAAAAAGATGGAGAGCGGGAGAGATCAGCATAAATCAAATGAATATTCTGCATTTAAAGGCATGGCAATGTAAATCTAGCCTTATCGGTAATGCTTTCTGCTCTTGCCTCATCGGTCATGCTGTCTACCGTCTAACGGAAAACTCACTTTCATGCTCAAAATGTGTGTTATTTTTTACACATTATAAAGACTAAGAATTATTTGTCGAGATCAAGATAAGTTTTTATTTTTCTCAAAGCTCTGGGGGAGGGGGGCTTGAACCCTAACCCCCACCCCTGGCTGCGCCACTGTAGTGACCTATAGATCACTAATTACAGAACCAATTCTAAATTTTGGGTCACATTCATAAAGGAATTCAGAAACAAGCAAACATTTGTGCAAACATCTCATGAACAAAACTAGCATTTGACGGATTTTACAGTTTTATAGATCAAGATACGCATGTCAGAGTTCCGATATGTTAGCGCCACAGATTAACATAAAACTTATCCATATTGATAATTCACTGTATTAATTTGTAAATCATACGCTTGGGTCCATATCAAATCTTCTTCGACTTATTAGTCCGTTCCCTTTCAGATGTCATCCTAGAATGTACCCTATCGATCTGTCATTCTGTGGGTCATTTACTTGTTCCCCTGCCCGTGCTATGTGTATACATCGCAAGATCACTTTTATTCTCGCTTTCGATGAAACTACAATTGTTCAGCATATTCGAGTAAATAAGGGGTTGTTCATTAACTAGGTAGACAGTGGATAATTGCCAACCCCCCTAAACTGTCTAACTGTACGTAGTTAATGGACGGCCCTAAGCAGAAGGACTCCATTTTAGCGTAGCATCTTGTAAAATTTTCAACATGGTGTGGCACGGAAACGGCATTTCTGGTCACAAGCAGAGTTGAAAAATGTTTAGTTTATATATTGAATATCACTATAAGATTAACATCAGTGCAAAAATGTTCATTGAAATTCATTCTTTGCTTTCTTGGCGCAGGTCACTATGATTTGACGTTTCAGAGAATTTCTCACTTTCGGTTTGTTTTGTTGTTATCCTTTTCATTCAACAACGATTGCCGGTTTTAGTTCCCAATGAATATTCATTTCATTTACACTGAAAAAAGATTTCACTTAGTTACTATTAGGAACGCATATAATATTTTTCCAATAACAAAAATAATTATTGTTATTAGAATATCACCAATATTGTAAAAGAAATTCTACAGAGGTTACTCAAAATAACTAGGATAGGCAAATTTTTGGTCAACTTTGGAGTGTTGTAACTTCGTCAAATGTGATCCGATTTTAAATCATCCAAGAGCATATGACTGGAAAACTAATATATATGACTGGAAAACTAATATAGATATTCCGGGTTTTCGGAGGGCTTGTCTAACTTGCTAAATTTTTGGTGAAATTTTATATATGATGCTGGTTAAATATATATATTTTTAGTGAATACAACAAAATAAGAACCATTTCTAAAGCAAATCATATGCCAAGAACTAAAATCGGCCTATAATCAACCGAGATATGGCCATTTCCCTGGAATCGGTTCTGGTGAAGGGTTCTGAATGCGGGCAGATCATTTAATCACTCAAAACATGCCGTGCGACAGCTCTTT